ATTCCGTGGTTTCGGGCTACGGATGTTGTTTTTCTCTTCAGGACCGGAAAGTTTAGCAGATTGGTGGTGAGGGGCATTTGATGGGCTGGGCAGGACTTTGTGGGTTTGCTGAGTTTCGCAGGGATGCAGGAATGCAGGCGGCACAGGGGTCCCAACAACAGAAATTTCCTGAAGGCCGGTTACCTTAAATGGAACCCTGCCTCGGAGTAGCCCCCAGGTACTTCCTGCTGAATCGCCAGAGTGGGCAGTACTTGCTCGGAGATGGAGGCGGAATTTTTTTTACCCGTCCTTGGTTCGAACTCGCCTAGCACTCGTCGTCGCCCTCGTTGTTTTGGTCCTCCATCAGTTCTAGTTAGGGTGTTCTGGCAGGCTTGGGACAAGCCGATGTCAACGGGACGGCTCTTTGGTCCGTTGCTGAAACTCAGGCCGGCTGATCACAGTCTTCTTGCGGGGTGCGCATGGCAACATTTGGTGCATGCCGGCTACTTGTGCAGGCCTTGCCGGCCTACCTCACCCTAAGTCCTACTCACTAGTCCACGCGCCCGAAGCACCATAGTTTGCATGCGCCACGCACTGACAGGACGCGGCTTTGTTCCACCTTCAGAACGTGAAGACAGGTCACCACCTAGGTGAGCCGCACCACATCTTCGCTCATATCTGGGGCGACTCCGATTGCCATGATCAGGTTCCCACGCATGGTTCATCCACAGCACCTGCCGGTGCCTGAGAGTTGACCGAGTTTTTGCTTTAAGGGGCTTGCAGAGGATCGGAGGCATGAAGGCAGTGAGATGGAGGATGGCTCAATACCTTAAGGCGTGGCAGGGCACCGCACATGCGCTGATTCTCGTGTTGTGCCCCAAGGCCGCGGCAGCTGCATCAGCCTAGCAGACCAGAACGGCAAGGCCCCTCTTGTCTGCTGTGATTTACCTCGGAATCATTCGGAATCCTATACTGCATAGACTCTTCTTATCTCATTAATTCCCTCCGAGCCCTTTCCCTAACCTGTTCGGTGGAGTTGGGGGGATGATCGGATTTGTGGGTGCATGCAGCAGTGTTTGTGATTTACTCGACCAGAAACCTTCGGAAGATAGCAGACCTGTGCTAGTAGTATTCCGCGGAGTCCTCCATGATATCTATAAGCAAGTATTATACCCGAAAACCCCAGTCGAATGATGAATTCGAAGGCCCCTACATTGCACTGAAGCTGAATCTCATCGGCGCTCTCGCCTCAGGTCCTAGCACCGGTCAGAGATGATGCAGGGGCCTTGCGTGCCGGAGTCCCAGGCCACAGGCTTAAGTTGAGGTTTAAAGCCTAGGGCTTGCAGAGTCTGAAGGTCTTCGTATCTTTGAACAGGAACCGCTATGCGGAAAGGTTGGGCAGGTCTAAGGTTCGGGACATTTCAGGAGATCGGTGTGTTTTGCCGGGCTGTGACGTGCCAAGTGATTGAGGGCATTGTTTTGTTGCATTGTAGCAGGATCTCGTTCCTTTAACTTGTTCTTTATTTGGTGCAGGCTTTTCGCAGGCCGATGCGGTGCGCACATCGCTAAACGGCACGATCTTACTCCTTGGTCCGAAGCCGCATAAAACGGCAAGCCTTGTGAGATGCGTATCGACATCCGTTCCCGAAGCCCTGCGTCTGCACAAATCCATGTTCGCACTGGGTCCGAAAAGTCATGTTGCCGAAAAAGGATGTTCAAGACTCCGCGTGCAAGAAACCGTCGCTTGAAATCTGTCTACCAGAATTGATACTCTCTACCAGACCGTCGCAAAAAAAACATCTCATGTAGGGGCCTAATCAGACTGGCTTCGAATAAGCCTGCACCCAAACCTCCAAAGTAGGTAGAATAATGGCCCAATACCTGTATAAAAGCCATTATTCTACATGCTTTGGGGTCCAGGCAAGACAGTGAGCCAAGGCCTAGGTGAATTTCACGGCAACGTGTTGGCGGACCGAACAGTTTTTTGATGTAGCAGTTGAAATGAACTGCAGCCGTTCCGCACATGGGCTGGGCCAAAAATCGCGCTGGCAAGAGGGCGCCTCTGCCAGACCTCAAGCACACGTTTTTTCCCCGCCCTGCCTCAGAACTTAACCATACCGCAGGCCTACTGTGTTTGATCGGCTTTCTGCCACCTGGTTTTTCCGCTACCCGACCAAAGGTTTATGGTTTCCGCCGGGTTTCTGGATACGGATTTTACGATGTTTAATTCTTTGGCGGCTCCACTGTCTGGGGCATGGTTTTTTTTGAATCGATTTTATCGGCTCCGGATTTCTGGGTTCGGCTTTCTGGATACGTTGGCCAGAAGAGCAAATAGGGACTTCTCACTGCTCAATGAATTTTCCGAGCCCCAGAAAACCGAATCCAGAAATCCGGAGCCGCAACCGAATCCGAAAATCCGTATCAGAAACCCGGAGGGAAATGTATGTGGAAATCTGCTCCCTGGCCTCAGCCACCCCCACCCCACCCCTCCTCTCTGGACCCCAGGGCTTCCTTTAGCTGCTTTCGCCAGGGATACAACGGGCCCAACTTCCTAGACCCTCCGTCTACCCTCTTTTGGACCCTAAATGCCCCTTATTTGGGACCACATACCCCTAGCCTATTCGAGGGTACAAGGAGGGTCCTGGTTGCTCGTTGTTCTCAAACGCTCCTCTCCGCTTCGTCGCTGGTTTTGCCAAGGCTTTGTTGGCTCACGAAACGGTTATTCAATTCAGCAACTTGCCCTGCCAGGATCCCTTTCCTTCTTGTATCTGCTTTTGCCAAAGAAAGTTAAAAATCGGCCAAGGACATGGCTATATATATATATATATATATATATATATATATATATGTATGTGTATATACATATCTGTGCACGGGTGGGTTGCAGTGATGACGGATGTGTAGCGATGATGTTGTCGGGCCCGATTGTCAGGAGGCCAGGGTTGGGTATGGTTCTTCGCATACCGGGTTTTTGGCGTCGGATTTGTGGATACGGTTTTTCGGGCATAGATTTTTGGGCTCTGGATTTTGGAGTGCAGATTTCTGCGTCAAGGGCTTGTGGATGGGTTTTTTTTGTGGATAGGGCTTCTTGGTTTGGGGTAAGTTTCATTGATGTCGCAACGCATGTCATAATGAAAGCCTCGCCTTGGCATGGCCACTGAAGATCCAGGCCGCCCCCACGGCCGCAAAGGAGGCAGACTTTCAAGTGGGGCGATTTCGGGGCGTAGCAGGTTGCAGGAAAAGACAACCCTACAGTACAGTTGGTTTACCATAGTACCACTGAATACCTGACAGCAGCCCAGGCCACCGACAGATAGACCCTGTACATCCCGGAAGCCATTCTGCTTCATTTTGTTGTTTGACTTGCTAACCAGGCTCCTTATGTCGGATTATGGAACAAGAAACTGGTGCGTGCCCGAGTCCCGAAGACTGATCGAAGCTTCACTCAATCCTTGAAGTTCTGAAGCCCCCGACGTATCTTTTGGCTCGAAGCACAGAGGGGATTCGGCCAAGTCCCCTTGCCTTCGCCGCACCGCGCGAAGACCTCAGCATGTCTTAGAGGTGCTGCTTCGATTCAAAACCAGAGAAGCCTAAACCCCCTAAACCCGAAACCCGCTGCAAAGTAACTATTTCCTTTTCCATGCATGAGACTAGATGCTGCAGCGACTAGCGGCTGCAAATCTAGCTTATTACAAGTTTAAGTTCCAGTACTACAAGCAGGCAGGGACGGGAGACAGATACCTTGCAGCTCCTCTTGCTGCGTTTCTTTTCTTGGGCTGGCTGTATGACCTCTCGTCGAAGGTTCGGGTCCAGGAGGCTGTACAGCTCCTCAATGACTCAAATGTCCTAGAACCTCGGCCTGACCGTCTTACTAGCGCTAATTACTCGAGGGCTTAGTATATTCAAAGCACGTTCGAAGGCTTTTGTCAAGGGTATTTATTTTGCTACTTCTACAGACCCCTCTATTGCATGGACTTGTTCAGGCAAGCCCCGCAGCCGCCTTTGTGTAGGGTCCTGAATGCACGAAAGTCGCGAGGTTTCTTCTGTTTGTACTCCCGGCTGCGTGGGTTTCACTCATCTGACCTCGAACCACATGCCTCGCGTCCGAGCGTGATCGCCGAAACCTTGTTGAGACAATCTCCAAGAGGGGATAAAACGAAACACTGTTTATTTGGACATCAATTTCTCGTTGTCATAGCAGACTGCAGGGCCTCCATGCGCCTCAGCCATGCCCCGAAAGCCTTGCTGCCACCGACTGAGGTGAAGCGTGCCGCTACAAGTTCGGGACAGCGTGTGGCAGAGCAAGAAGTCCGCACAGTGCCTGAGCTGTACTGAATTCCGGTTTGAGACGTGGTATTTTAGGGGTCTTAATACTTAGAACAGGGTGTTGAGGCTCCTTATTATAATTCTAGTATAATACACCCCAAGCCCTATTCTAATTGCTAAGTGCTGTAGCCATGGTTGCTTTTGTGCAGAGTCTCCTGCGCAGAGGCGATGAACATCTTTCGGTTTTGCGGCGACATGCTGCATTTGACCAGCATCATGCCGGGCTCCCAGCGAAGCAAAAGAATGCCAGGTAGCAAGGCTTATAGGGATCGAGCATCTGAGCCTTAACAGTAGCATGGTAAGTTGGTGGCATGATTTGCCGTAACTGCTGAAATCAGTTGAATGTTTAATGCACAAACGAGAAGGCCCTGCTGTGGGGGAGTGTTCGCTGGCACACAATCCAAGCCCATGCTGAAAAATGCACGAACCCTTTCAAGCTTGACTGGCAACTCCTCTTGCCCTTCTCCTCCGCGACAGAGTTGACAGGGTGATAGCGGGCCAGTGGCATTCGCGACATGTATGCACAGGATATACAGTAGGCGTCTCTCCAAGACGTTAGTCTAGTCCTACCTGCAGCTTCAGCCCGGAATCCACAGGGCTAAGGCCCCCAAGCCCATGTCCTGCTTTCTGCGGCTCAAGTTTCGTCAGGGCAGACACTCTCCAGCAAAACCTCCTGCCCGCAGGCCTCCGGACCCATGCCGCCCGTGGAGCCGCGATTGAAGCCATTGTGTGCGACCTTCATCCATTACATGGACAGCAGCAAGGGCAAAGATGCATGCAAGGGCCGCAAGCTCGTCCGCTGCCACAGCTTCAGCGGCTACGTTCCATATCACCTTGAGCAGGAAGAGGCGGACAATGCAGAGAGCATTCCGTCCGATTGCTCTAATGGCAGCAGCGCCGAAACCCCGGAAACGGACATCGGGGAAGATGGCGATCCCACAGCCCAGGCATGGCCTGACACGGACGACGAGTGGGATTCGGAATCATCGAAATCGGCCCCAAGAGTGGCACTGGTGGCTATGTACGTGCCCCAAGTCGAGGAGAAGGTCATTGAAGGCCTTTGCAGAGCAGTGACAGAGGCGGCTGTAGGAGCTCCTGGTGGACATTGTAGCGTTTTCAACTACATCGGTGAGCCTCCGGACATAAACAGCTACGTCTGGCAGTTGTGCAGGAACAGCTGCTGTGACACGATGACCTTCGTCTTCGCTTTCGCTTACTTGTGCCGGACTTCGGAGACGAACCACGGCAAGGTCGATGTGAGCAAGCAGACAATTCATCGCCTGCTCCTAGCAGCGGTGACTGTCGCAGCGAAACACAGGCAGCTCTACAAGCACGACAGCAGCATCTATGCACAGGCCGGCAATGTAAGCATAACGGATCTGAACCAACTCGAAGCATGCTTCTTGGACTTGCTCCGGTGGAACCTCGACGTCTGCCCAAAGACATTCAAGAGGATTTATCGCCTCCTTTGCAGAGCCGCCGCATGACGAGAGTCACGGTCCTTTCGATCAAAAGTTCAGATCCGCGCCGGGGCAGAAGTTTTCACACGGCTGTCAAGTGCCTGTTCCTCTTCGACTGCTTGGCTTTTCTGTAGGCGATGTGGTTGAGTTCTCTACGTAAATTCTGCCGTTGTCGTTTCAGCTCACTTTGTCGTGAAGCTTGTGATCCGAACTTACGGCAGATGGCAGCCAAATTCGCATTTGCAGACAAAACAATGCAGCATGTCCAGTGCTTGACGGTCTCAAACGCATGTTCCCGTCTCAGCGCGCGGGTTGCAGGATAGGCATCTGTGTGGCAAAGCAGCTTCTTACTTCTGCCGCAGCTTACAACAATCTATGAATGTCCAGAAGCTCTATCACTCTTGTGGAGATGCCCCTCTTGCAGCTTCGTGGGCACTGGACTTTGAAGTTTGCAAGCACTGTTTGCCGCAAGGCTTCAGATGTGCAATAAGGATGCCACCCGCAGCCGCTAAGCAAGAGGTGAACCTGTCCCTCCTGCGTTCCTAGTCATGGCATCTGTTCGTCTTACAAGCAGACATTAGCCTGACTTTCGAAATCTTGAGCCGAACAAGTGGCTAGTGAAGCGTGGCTGCGGGATTGCTCAGAATTCACAAGCGTGGTCGACGAGCCAGCCTGCATCGCATTGCCTGTGACGGTCCACTCGTGTTCTATGACTGTTAATGAGACGTGCTCATCGTGAACGTGTGGTGCTCGCATTTCGCAACGCAGCTTTGCCGATGAGCTGCTGACCACATCTTGTCCAGCGGTCCACCAGCATGTAGAGCCTAGAACCATCATCATACAGTCATAAAGACACGAGGCTTTGAACCATGCTAGCTCACGCGCTGGCAACACACAAGCGCAAACCAAGCTGTGACCGCATGGACAAACCCCGTTGAAAATAAGAGCCTAGGATGACAGCGATGGCAAAGGAAGGGAGAAATGTAAGGGCCTGAGTAATCATACGTAATCATATAGATATGTATGCCATCCCCATACGTCTGTACATCTTGCTAGGTTCTATAGCCTATAGCATTATATTCCACAACAAGATTACGAGAAGCTCTTTACTTCCCTCCGGCCTGCTGTGAGTTTGCGACATTCGCATGTAGGAATTCACGGCAATTGCTTGGGTTCCCTGCCGAGAGGACTTCGACGAGACATGCAAGAGGCAAAAAGGCCTCGTCCTGGCATCAATCAAAGCAGAGATGCATCGCCGGAGCTGTCCGAGATTGAACTGTCCAATACCTGATTACTGAACTACCCGAAGGCCCCCAACCCCTAAACTCTGAACCTAAACCCCTCTACTCAGGCTTCTGGTCTTCAAGCTCCACCGTAGCAAGAGCTGCGTCGGCGTCTCGTGCCGAATGCAGGTGCGCAGAGGGCAAAGGGTTTAGGGTTTAGTGGGGTGCTGGCATTCATCAAGTCCAGATGTAAAAAGGGTCCTTGCAAGCAAGCCTGCAGCAAAAAGGGTGTTTTTCGGCTTGAGGGGTTTACGCTGCAAGTGCAAGGGGCTTTGCTTCAGGGCTTGGGTTTTCAGACCTGGAGGAGTCAAACACTCTGTGGTTCATTCAGAGGGGTTCTGCGTGGTTCACAATTTCTGCGGCGACTGGCTGAAGTGCTCAGAATTCTGGGTCAAAGGGTGCGCAGTCTTAGCGGGCCAGCTCATGATCATGTAGAGGCTCCGGCAGAACCAAAGAACAACGAGTACGAGCAGCCTCAGTGCAGCCTCAGCATAAGAATCCCAACTTGAGAGGGGTTGGAATGATTAATCAATCAGTAGTAGCAGCCCCTTACATATGGCGCAAATATACGTGCAGCTTGGGCGACGTTCGTGTCCTTGTCGGTCCAGCCAGCTGCTCTATTGAGTGCATCTGGCGATTTTCCGGTTGACACCTCTTCCTTTTGCTCCTAAGCCCTCAACCCTGCAACCCGACACCCACCCGCGGCTCCTGGTGTGTGGAGACTCGGGTTCGCATCCATGGGTTTAGCTGACGTCAGCCAAGTGCAGGAGATCGGCATGAGTGCCCGCAAATATCTAAGATGTTTGGGGCAACTCATTGAAACTATCCAGCTCCGACATTCTAGCGAAGGGTTGTGCAGAGAGCAGCTTGAGAAACATCACCGAGTCGGATGCCCGTCGGATTGCAGCCCTGCCGGTGTAGTTCCGCTGTTTAACATTATGAGGGCCCCTAAACCCACAACCCTCAACAAACAAAGTCAATAAAGCGGTGCTAGGAGATGTATGCCTTGGTCTTCATCTTCCGCTATCTGGACTTGCTTTGGAGCTTTATCTCCGCAGCTGGGCCTTTCAGAAGCGGTCTAGGGCTTCTAGGGTTGCTTCAATGACGGGTTTAGAGCTTTAAGAGCTGCCTTAATGATGGGTTTCACAAAGCTGACGGGGCGGGTGTAGTGGGAACTGTCACGGAAGCCGCAATGGCGGCATCAGCGGCTTAGCATACCTAGCAAAGATGCAAAGGCGGGTGTTGAACGAGCTTGAGCCAGAGTGCAGTCCGCGGTGCAGCCATACTTTCTCAAGGGCTGGAGCACGGAATATATTTTGACAGAAAAGGTATACAACACCGTCATGAAGATCACGTACATCACTACGACCTGTCGCTTGGAGGTGCATGGAGGGTGACGGCCGGCGACAAGTGTCCAGAGTGTGCGCATAAGCGCACAACACATACTGAGTGGCATGCGGCACTGTAGGTCGTGCTAGATCCATGTTGCGATGGACAATGATGCGGTTTTCGTGCATGTGTTCGGTGCCAGTGACTGTGGTTCTTCGCTGGCACTTTGTTGAGGGTGTTGCACCTTGCACCTCCCTACCCGGACGAGGACGTTAGGCCGAACCGCGTAAGTAAACTTTGGACAGTCTCTTCCAAGACACTCCTGCAGCTCGCACAAGATGTAGACTTCCCAACTTCCTTCCGAGGTTACCTGATCTACCTGATGCGGTACAAGACACCAGTTTGCCAGACCTATGAAAGGAGCACAGAGTCTTGTTTCGATGTTTTGGCTGATACATTGTTTTCTCGGAGTGCAGCGAAACCGAGTCAGCCAAGCAGACACCATGCGCGCAAGCTTTCAACTGGTCCTAAACCAAAACCCGCAAGAAGCATGGAGTTATACCGGTTCTAGCGTAGTTTAGTTTTACGCCGTGAGCTCTGGACACGCTGACATGACTGCTGAAGATGCAGCGAAAAACCTGGACCATGATTGTATTTTCGTGCATTATATCTTGCTTTTTGTTTTTCAGCACAGTTTATAGTATGGTACAGTATTGTGTGGTCTATTATATAATTATTATTCTGCGCTTTTTGGGGGAGGGAGATCTATCCGAATCTATCGCCTCTTATCGACGAAACAATTCCTCTTGGATATCCTGAGATGGGCTTGGGTCTGTGGGTGCGGACGGGTTTGCGGAAGTGAGGTAGCGCGGAAGGTCTGCAGACGAACGGGCTTGTAGATCACAAATGAAGCTTGTAAGTTCCAGGTATGCATTGCAAGCGCCAAATGAGCGAGACTCGAAATCATAAGAAGGAAAGCCTAAATGACTGCAATGTTTACAACCCCAACTAGTTCGATCCGCCAAAGCAAGCTGCGAGAGTCCGAGCGCTATTTGCTTGTGGAGTGTGGAGTTTTCTGTACTATTATACTACTGCACCTAGCCCAAAAACTGACCCAAACCCTGGCCTACCACGACGACAGCTACTACTACTACTACTACTACTACTACTACTACTACTACTACTACCACTACTACTACTACATTCTGGGTGATGGTTACTTGGTGTGGTGTTTTGGGGTTTATTTTGGGACTTTGCCTTGACCTCCGGTAGGACAGCGAGTGTAGTTTCCAGATCAAGAGTGTCCTGGCGTACTCTGTGGCCTTACCTTCTGTTGCGGTGTTTGTTCATCGGGATACTCTTGTGACTTTTGCCATTTAAGTCCCCGCGGAGCTGTCTACGGCGTGCCATGTGGGTGACAAACTACTACTACTACTACTACTACTACTACCACTACCACTACCACTACCCCTTCCCCTACCCCTACCGCTACCACTACCACTACCACTACCACTACCACTACCACGACTGCTACTACTACTACTACTACTACTACTACTACTACTACTACTACTACTACTTTGTGGTGGGCACTGGGACTTCGCGGCAGGGGACTCCACCCAAGTCGAGCCCTTGGCCCTTCGAATACAGTGAAACGACAGCTGGCTACTTTGAAAGAGGCTGCAGAAGTCAGCGCCAGAAGTCAGCGCTTCCTCCAGCAATAGCTCCAGTAATCTGTATAGTAGCAGTTCCAGCTCCAGCACTTCGCCATACTCGGATGTTGCGTACAGTAGGACTGAATAGGACTGACAACTCGGCAAAATAGAGTTCCCGCTGCACCAGCGCATCAGGGCCAGCATTTGCGAAGCATACTTTGAGAGAATGGGACGCAATGCAGATCAACGCTCGGTACGTGAATGTTTGGCGTAGGAAAGGTCGGTGTGCTATTCTGGTGGGGGAAGGCGGCCTTGAAAATCATCACGCAGTACGTGGATGTCGCTTGTGGGGGGTCGGCGGCGTGTGTATCGGGTACGTTCACAAACCTCCATAAACTCGAACTTCAGACACAGCGAGTAGGATTTCTATTCAAAACCCGTAGATCCAAAACCATTGGTTCTTTCACCCGACACGTTCTGGCTTCCGAAAACGGGTCTCGCAACGACTACAACAGCACCCGCGGAAGGAAAGATAGTCTAATGTAGCGAAAACATCGAAAACGCGGGCCTGAGGAAGCAAGTGCGTCCAAGAGCCGTGCGGAAGCACCCTTTCGTACGGCGGAAGGGCTTTGCGGAAACGGGGTTTATTTTTTAAGTGCAGTGAAAACATGAACCATTACTGTAGTTTCGTGCATTAGATCCTGCTTATTATATCATGCCGCTTTCGTTTTGCCAGTGCTATGTTTTGCACTGCTGGATGGCCCTCTTAAACCAAGCTGCCCCGAGGTCACCCACCTAGGATATTCCCTCGACACTTGTTCCTGGTCCAAGGATTCCTTCCAGTACGAAATCTACCTCTTGGGGCCTTGCGTTTTGCTGGGCCTGATCTGCGCAGAGGAGTCTGCCGGATCTGATCTTGGGGTCCATGGCCCGTAAATACAGTCATGGCCCAAAGGAGGGGGCTTCAGAACATATGTTAGGATCACCTCAGGGGTGCTTATATACATTAAGGATCCTACTGCGCACGGTCCACAACTGGGTCCTTTTAATTTGTGACACGCCGTCGAGTCGCGAGTGGCAACCTCGGAACGCGTGGACGGCAAGATTCGCAATGCTCGCAGGTACCATCAAGAAGCATCATGGGGCTACAACTCGCAACAATGCACACATACGCACAGACGCAGGAAAAAACATACTAGTAGGATCTGGTCAAAATATGTACCATATATATATATATACACATTGAATTGTACATATATATATATATATATATATAGGGATGGTTGTCAAAACAATGATCCCTTTTTGGGTCCCCATGTTACGGCACCTATTGAATAGGATACCTCAAAAGGGGCCATAATTTTGAGAACCACATATGTATAATATATACATAAATTGTTACATATATCATGCTTTAGTATACATTATGTTTCTATTTTCAAGCAGAACAGTTCAATATGACTAATGTAGAATATGTACAGTATATACAATACGATGGGTAATGGTAATCTATATAGCCATCTCTCGCTCTCTCTCTCTCTCTCTCTATATATATCTATATATATATATATATATGTGACGTATACATATACATATATACATATATACATATATACATATATACATATATACATATATACATATATACACATATATATATATGTATATATATATATATATATGTGTATATATATATATATGTATATACATATGTATATATATATATATATATATATAAACGTATAATACGTTCCGTAAGTGAAGACTGTAGAGACGGCCGTTCTCATTCCTTATCCTTTCCGCTTGACTGAGACCCTAGTATCGTCACCCCTCAATCAACCCCATAACAGGTATATATTAGGAATATGATAAGAATATAATGGGAATATAATAGGGCCCTAATATAGTCCTTATAGTCACTATCACAATACCCTAGTACCCTAAGCCCGAAGTCCGCCAAAAAAATCGACGCTAATGCCCGAAGAACCAAAACTGGATCGCGGTCCGGAAGTCAGTCCCGGACCCAAACTCAAAGGGAAAGCCGCGATTGCAGGAGTACACTATCCCGGACATCCTGTGGTCCTCATCGATCTGGCTGGAAAGTTCCCATCTCATTGCAAAGTGGTGTCTAAAACTATTTAGAGCTTAGAGGTGCCGTCTGAACCGAAGTCAGAAATAGGGGGTCGGGGCGCATGGATGTCTCAGGTGTAGCTATCATCCCACAGCTCGTGCTGCTCCAGCAGATACGAGAGGTCGAGCCGACAGGATGCAGATTACCATAGGCTAGACAGCTCCGGAATGGCAACGAGTTAGCCTAGCACTGGCAGCGGGTCATGCTAGGCGAACTTGAAAATATATCTGGCCTCGCCCAGCAAAGGAACCTCACCTCAGATTTTGTGGGCTGCATGGGAGCGTATCGCAGCTCGGCACGCGAGACTCCGCTTACACACTGTCATGCGTGCCTGCTCGTCGCTCAAGGTGCTTTCTACATCCTGAACTGGATCTACCGATACTTTGCAGAGGCCTCTTGCCCAACATCGGGGACCATGCTGGTAGAGGGGAGACGTGCAGTCTGAAACTGGGGCTCCGAAAGTTGCACAGTGTGAGACGCAAGATCCTGTCTCGACTTGCATTAATGTAGGGGCCTTAATAATTCGAATGGGGTTCTGGGGGGTTCCTTGTTATAATGAGCCCCAAAACCCCATTCTAATTTTTCAGGTGCCTATTATGCTTGGGAACCAAAAGACCTGCCTCTCCCGAAATGCATGAATGCTCACCTAGCAGGACTATGTGAACATCGTCGGGTGGATCGGCGGACTGGTCCAAACGGGCCTCTATTGCGACTTCTTCTACTACTATGCAAAGAGTGCCCTGGTTCAACAGAATTTGGCTTCTTAACTTTGCCACGCTGGAACATTTTGTCGCGGTGTGAGCTGTACTGGCAAAGAGGATGCGCAGTAAGACTTTTCACATGCTTCCACAGGGGATTTCCTACCCCCACAAGCAAAAAGCGATGTGCATCTCTCCGGCTGCCTGGGAGTGATGATGCAGTCTGTGAAGCTTCACGAGCGGGTTAGTTAATGCATAATGTCAAAACCCCAGCTCCGCACAGTCATGCCTGAAGACAAGTTCCTGAATTAAAGTTTCCGACTCGAGAGATGACCCCTCTGGGCAGGCAAATGGTACGGCAGCAAGCTTGTCCTCCCTGTTGCTAGCTGAGAAGCTGGCAGAGCAGAACATAGTGGGATTCGTAGCGCCGACTGGGCAAAACCTCCAACACTCCCAGCATATAGTCATCATAACATTACAGACAATCGCCGGTGTAGAACCATGGCAACGACATGCTAGATGCATCCTGCGTCTTTGAGGGAATGGCAAGATGCCTTTGGAGGAATGCTCAGAGGTCGAGGAATAGATTTTCCATGATCCTGGAGGCCTTTTCCCGAGATGATACCTTTCAGAATCTTGACATCCAAGACCTCTGCAATCCGCTGACTCAAAGCTTGGCAGGGCTGGGAGCTTGTAGGAAAACCTTACTTCTGCCAAAGCCCGTGCCGATGAATTGCATTTCTAGCTGGGGAGAAGAGTGCTCCGGGAGCTGCTGAGTGAAAAAGCGGCTGCCTCATGTGGGTGGTTGTCATAATTAGGGTCCCTTTTGGGTCCTTCTTATAATACGGCACCTTATAATTAGGGTACCCAAAAAGGGACCATAACTCACCCATGTATTTCTGGCGATACAGACTCGGTGAGCACCCAGCATGCAGGCGAAATTCTCGCAATGTTGCCTGAGCCGCCATAGCGAGTATCATGATCCTGTAAAGCTCTTCAATTCACTGGACCGTCTTCTTATTCTGAATGGGACTTTTTAGAGGGATCGGCGAATCTGGAGAAGCGTGAGGCGGGAGCCGCAGCACACTGGGTCTACTTGCCTCCATGTGCTGTGCCCAGCACGTGGTGTAGGAGCTGAGGTTTGGGGGCTTATAGGGTTCTGAATATCGACAGCCTGGGTTTGGCGGTGCTTTGTTCTTGGAGTTCACTGTTTCGCTGCCTGTGTCTTGTTTGAAAGCACCTGCTGCAGCTATATCCCTCGAAACCTCCATTACCACGGCAGCGGCAGAGGTGACTGAGGCCGGCGCCATGTTTTGGTTTTGCGGTCTCGGGCCTGTAGGCACCAAGGAGGCGCTCTAGCAAGATGCCGCGTGGCTGTTTTCGGGTCATTCTTCGACAACAAGCTGCGACAGTCGCGAGCCAAGCACTGGTGCCGATGGTGGGAGCAGCAGCAGATCTCGACGCTCCCGTTTGCATTGTTGCTGACATGACTGCTAGCAGTAAGCAGAACAACGAATTGCATCAGCCGTGAGAATGTTGACATCGCATACGTCATACTTACCATTCAGCAGATAATCATGAGCTTAACTTGAGCCCATTTTTTCTAGTGAAAAGTTTGGAGAAACACCGCATCGCAGCAATGAGCTTCGTAGACTTCCTAATCCACTACCCTGTTGAGATTGAGATCTACGGAGCGAAGTCCTAGCAAGTCATTCGGCCAGGTAGATGTGGCAGAGCCGACGGCACTCGGAGCCCCATCAAGTGAGGCTCAGTTCTTCATAACGTCGCTTTGGAGGTTCGGTATTCGGGTTTGCTGCTTGGTCCTGCATCAGCCCGACCTCGAGCCAGATGATCTATTGAAGCAAGCTTGTTTGAAGCCTGCCTCGCGAGGTATTAACATGCTCCCGCATATGCTGCCAAAGCCGCTCCTGGGCAGCGGTAAAAAAAACAATGGTCTGGGGTTCAGGGCCAGTCAGCCGTGGTGATCCATATCTTAGGCAAGGACTTGTCGTGCTACTAGTAGCTGGTTCACATACGCAGGTGTTGTTTGCTGTGGCCTGCAACCTCGCCTGACGCTGTCGAGTGCGAGTGACAAAGACATGCTTATGACATGAGACGAGCCATCGCCACAGTCGTCGAGAAAAGCTGCGTCATCCTTCCCATGGCAACCCAAGAGCAGTCGCGGGAGTGGTCGTGCGCTGACGTAAGCTGACTTGTGTTTGTGTCTCGTAGAGTTGCTCATATATCCCGTGGATGCATCGAAGCAGTCGAGTCTTTCGTCATGTCAACTCCAGCCATAGTAGTTAGGCCACTACCATAAAGGCCTTCCACCTTCAGTCTCGCACACGCGTCGCGTGTATCGGAGCTCCAGTCCAAGCGCTCCTATTGTCTTTCGATTTAGACTTTAATTGTAGAGCCTGTAAACCCTCGATGTTCTGGTCATCAACCCTGCACTGATGTTTGTCGGAACCCTTGAAGTGTGCGTCGAGCCAGCCCGGTGAGAGCCCGCTGAAGCCCGGAAATCCCAAATTCCAAGGAACTTGGAAAGGCCCACCTTTCATCCCAACGTGGACAAGGATCCGGTTTGGCTTGGTTTCGGGGGATAGGGATAAAGGCTGCAAGATGCGGGGTGTGGAACACAGAGCACGCAAAGAAGAGAGGCGGTTGGCTGTGCTCCAGGAGGCAGTCTGCAGCAGCACCGCAACCTCCGGGAGATACATCCAGGTTCGAAGGGGGGTTTTGGGATGGAGAAAATGTCTCTTTTGAGCAGGGTCTTGTCGAATCGGACATGGCCCGAGGTTCCGGAATCCAGGGGCCTGAATAAGCGCCTGTTCCCCAAAACCCAAGTTTTATAATGGAGTCCCTATATAAGACTGGGTGGACCATTGAAGCTCTGGTATACTCCCCCCAAGCTGGCGTAGGTGCGTGAGAAAATGCCGCGGCCTCTCCATGGAGATGCCATGACGGAAGAGTCGATCGCGGAGGAGTGCTTTAGGGTTTAGGGTTACGGGTTCAAAAGGGGTTTAGGGCTTAGGGGGTTTAGGGGGTTTAGGGTTTAGGGGGTTTAGGGGGTTTAGGGTTTAGGGGTTTCCGACAGAGGGCTTGCCAACTTCTCGTTCCGTGACGGCAATGTGGCAAGGGCTTCGGGTAGCAAGCGTTGCTTGAAGAGGAGTGGTCCTCGATGGTCGCAGCTCGTCTGACTGATGTGGCATTGTAGGGGATCGTGGGCTTCTTCTCGGAAGTTGCTGTCCTACTTGTAGTTTGCTCTCTTGCATGGATGCTTGGCTACGAACATGAAATACATCCACGATTCAGGAACCCTGAATGCCAAAGCCGACAGCCTACCTGAGCTCCCAAGACCAAAACCCCCGAAGCCCTGCCATTTTGACTCGAGTTGTTTGCGCTGAGTCGTGTAGCCTTCCCATGGCTTTCCCAGTAAGAATGGCATCAGAAGACGCACCAGAGGAGTCGACCTCGAACTCGCCAGCTATACCTGCGCCGAGAGGTGAGCTTCGGAGCTTGCCGGCCGGAGAGTTCCCTATGGCTGCGACATCCAGCTCCAGGCCCAGTGTGGACCACATTTGCAGGCCTTGCGCCCTGCTGCACAGCCAGCGCGGATGTCGGCGAGGCATCAGTTGCCCATACTGCCACGAGCACACAAACAGAAGATCCCGTGGAGAAGAGCACCCGCATCGTCCACGCAAGACCTTGCGAAACAAGATCAAGCGCCAAATGCAGGAGCAGTTGAACGAGTTCGATCGATCGCCCGAAAGAGTTCATGACGAGTGGCAAGCGCTGGTGGAGCACTGCCCCTACGCTTGGAACTACTTGTCAGGACTTCTTGATCGTTCAGACACTGCAGCGGTGCCGAGAGCCGCTACAAACCTCGAACCAACTACAGATGATGTCATCACCGAAGGCCCCTTCTTCACCCAGTTGGAAGAGGTGCTTTCCGGCGAGGTGCAACTCCAGAACGGCATGATCTTCTCTGTGTAAAAATGTTTCCTTGGCGTTGGACACCCGAAACCCCGATCCACCTGGTGTTATGTACTTTTCATTGCTTTGCCAGACAGAGGGTCATGTCGTCCGAACCGAACCCGCATCGTTGCTTCAGCGCCCAGAGTGGCAGAGCACATGTTTGCACTAGTACGTACTGTACACACTAAGCCTCAAACCATACAAGTTTGCACCGTGTGGAATTGTCGATCAGTATCCGCACTGTCTCTGCGCCGCCGTTTTAATTCGACTACACTGTCGACAGAAAGTTCGGTATAGAACCGACACTTAATTTAAGTTTGAGGCAAATGCCCTGATCCCTGCATTTCCCATTCCAAGTCGACTTTATGAACCAGAGACCGCAGCAATGATCTAAAACGCTTTTCCGTGACTTGCCCTGGAGGCACACAGCCTCGAAGCCTTGCGGCGGTCTTCACATAGGTGCTGAAGGTGAATAGAACGTGGTGAGTACGAATTACAACAAGTATGATGGGCTTTGTTTCGTAAATCGTTCTTGCAATTCAGTTGCTAAGGCAAGCCGCACGGCAGCAGATTCTCAAAAAACGGTTCTCCAGCTGTGCATTGATGATGGCAGCATTTCAATCGCTGTTTGTGCATGCCTTCCGTGCCAGTAGTGGGCGCTGCTGTCGTCGTCTTGGCAGCAAAAAACAGCCTGCGCACCTTTGAAACCAGTCCAACCTTCATGTTGTGACTCTTACTTGAGCTCGCCCATATGACAAGGCGGAATGCTTGCAGGAACTCCGCCGGAATGTTTTTCTCTCGACTGGAGTGATATCTTGCGAGACGCCCGGAATCTCGAACTAGCCGAGGCCATGGATCCTGAAAAGAAAAAGTAATGTAGGGGCTTAGATAATTCTTTTCCTACTTAAGCCTAAACCTGAAATCATCACCCTTGAGCCGAATCTCAACCCCGCTCAACCCGAACCTTCGACCCCCTAACTAAGGGCTTTCTCCATATAGAACCCTCTAGCACAGAAACCTACTAAACCCTCCCAAACCCTTCTACTTCAGCCCCCAAACGCCAAACCCCGGAACACCGCAATTCCCTTCTAACTTAATCAAAGCCACCCAGACCCTGAGCCAGCCCCCAAACCCGGGGACCACCCTGACCCAGGTCAGGGGGTTCACGGGCGCCCGAAGTTTTAGCCGGGGGCGGGGGGCTATTATTTCCCAAACATGATGATGGGCACCAAAACCCTATTCTAATTATTAAGGCACCTATATTACGAGCAACAGCAACAGTCGGTCCTCTTCAAGAGCCTCGTTTTGGATTTCGAGGTTGGGGGATTCAGGACCTGTGTTGCCCGCTGCACTTCCCATCTGATGTAGAGATCCGGCGTGCCTTCATGGGCACACACCAAACGTGCTGTCCT